TACAAAATTTTAGTAATCTTCAGAAAGACAGCAGTAGGTTCTAACCATTTTGATCTTGGAGATCGAAGAAGCCGGCACCTGAAGTACTGAGATGGCCGAAGAAATATTAAGTCGATGGATAAAAGACCTCAGAATACAAAGATCTTTTGCCAATAATTAAAACTAGGGGGTTCCATCGCTCCACTCAAGCTCTATGGCATATAAAGCTTCCCTCCTTTTCCAAGATATTGTATTGCTAACCTTTTCTTAAAAATAGTGCAAGCGAAAGTAGAATTACAAAAATCATAGACCATATACAACTATACTTTTGTTTTGTGTTGGAGATTCATAATCCTGTCGAAATGTTCTGGGCATTCCTGACTGAAACCATGTAGTCGATCAGTGAAGGGGGCAGGGGTATAGAAGTATAAAATCGATATTAGTTATCATTCGATGTAGGCAATCGTCCATGTCTTCTTGGACCTTCCTTAATGATTCTCTATCCGAAAAAATAAATGTTCAGCTTATCATCGATATTTGAACATTACAAATGGCTTCTTCATTGACTCATCAATTATCAAAAAATAATTATACCATTATCGATAATGTATTCATTTATATATTACCCCACCCATTTTCAGGTTTCACAATTTTATGGAATTATTGAGGAAGAGGAGGTGAGGGGGGGATGGGGTCACGGAGATAATGAGGAAATGTCAGGATTTTGAACCCATCATATAAATTCCCTGCGTGTGTCAGTGACCTCGCTTTGTTTTTCTCCTTAATCACATTCGATTTAACATTCTCTCCTTTAGATAAATATTAATAGTTTTTCTGCATTTCTCTATCTTTCTCCGTTCAACGAAAAAAAAAATAAAATAAAATTTCTTTCATTTTATTCTCTTTACAAAAGCAAGGTCCATCTAATACGAAGCAGTATGCCATCTGAGTCCATTGGCATCCCAAAGAGGTCGCACGAACCTCAAAACAAAAACCTCTTAAATCACTTAATGAATCGCAGTTACAATTGTAAACACTATATCAGAAATATCTACTAGCCTGGTTTGTAGTAAACAGATCCACAGTTTCCCAACTGATTATCTCGTGACGCTCTCGCGGCACCTCTCGCGTAGCGCGTGATACCCAGCCACCGCCAGCCTTGGATTCGCTAATCGCAATTTAATGATTAACATTTTCTTGGAATATAAACAAACCTAACCTATCACTTCCTATCTCCTTTTTCAATTATCTCGGAAAGATTAGATTTTGGATTTTGAATGAATAATAACCGAGCATGGAGGTTTCAATTAATTCCCATTCATGTCCGCTGTTATCGATGCCCTGATAGCGAGGGGTTGCCGTCTGTCTGTCTGTCGATACTCGCGGAAATATGCGCAAAAATAAGGAAAACAACCTACATCAGATTTTAAACGAATTTAAGTGTACCTTGAGAACATTTCAACAATATCGAATCATAATACATATATCTAGTCTTTTAAAATCTTTAAATGCTAAAAAATTAAGGGTATGCGATGCTATGATAAAGCCAGTTCTGATTTATGGTTGTGAGATTTGGACACTAACCATCACCCTGGAAATAAGTATTAAAAGATTTGAGAAAAAAATCCTTCGCAATTGGAGCGATCTGGTTGGTTGGTTGTATAGTAAAGGCGTAAAACCTATTGGTCATCAACGCCGTTAATTAAAATTATATATTATTATATCTTTTGGTTATGAATATTAAGAATTGGATAAAATAAAAAAAATGTTAAAAGTTGTTTATTGTTACTAAAGTTTAGTTATTTAAAGTTTGCCCGTTATGTAAAAAAGAAAAAGGAAAAAAGAGGTGGAGAATTCAGATATTTTTTAAGATTCCTTCTTCAGAGATAAAACATGTGGTTTTGCCTAGGATTTTTTCATCATATCCCAAAGCAGAAGGTGTATTTGCTGGTATTCCTCTTATGTTTAATTTTCTGATGTAAAAGGCACAACTCTCGAAGATATGGATCACTGTCATTCTCTCTCCACACTTCCGACAAATGGACGGATTTTCTTTCGTAATTAAGTGAAGATGCTTAAGCTTGATATGACCTGTTCTTAGTCGCATAAGGACAACTCCGTCTCTGATTTTCCTGCGACTGGATGGGCGACTGCTCCATGGCTTCACTTCCTTCTTTATCACCTTTAATTTATTTGGAGGACTATTGTCCCATAATGTCTGGCAATCTCGAAATATGGCCTTTTTCAAAGGTCGCGCCAGTTCGGAGCAGTCAAGAAGGCTTTACCACGTCCTGGAAGGGTAAGAGCTTCTTTTGCTGCTCTGTCAGCCATGCAATTATCACCAATGCCTACGTGACCAGGGGACCATAAAAAATGTACTAATGTTTCAATGTTACTTAGCGGTTCTATGAGCCCCAAAATAGTATATATTCCCATGTGGTCTGGATACATGTTGTTCATTGCTTCAAGGGCATTCAAAGAATCTGACACACAACCACTTTTGCGATGACCAGGGTACTGAAGCATTGTGGGAAACAAAACCAATGAAGAGCTATTAACATTTTATATTTCATGATATAAGACAATGAAATTAGAAGGGCGTGGCATGTAGGTCGAAGAAATAAAATAATATATATATATATATATATATATATATATATATATATATATATATATATATATATATAAGGTGAAGAGGGAAAAGTGCAACCAGGTTTATTTTTTTCATTTTTGAACTGTTACTGTGAGATAAATATTAGGAATATGGAAATACAACTCAGCACACAACATTTAGGATTATCTGGCTACAATATCCTGCAATTAATATATTTTTATAATTGTCTGTAAATTAAAAAAAACATTTAAAAATTTTCATGTCCACTGGTTGCTCTTACCCCATGTATCCGGGGAAAGTGCAGCCTCGCACTAGGATCTTTTATGAACCTCACACGAGGCAATATAAATGACAGTGGGGCTAGTGTGTTATAGCTTTTCATTGATTTTGTCTTTATTTTTTTTTATCTTAAACCGTTTGGACGATCGGAGAAAAACCGCGGATGGTGGACAGCCAATGTTTTTTTATTCGATTTTTGGATTCCACGTATTGAAAAACGTAGTAAAAAATAAAATTTTAATAGGGATTAACTTTTTTATTTTTTCAGTCGATTAAAATAATTCATTATTGAAAATAATAAACCAGAATATGATTGCTGGGGCTTCATATAGCACAAATCATAACTTGATACCCTAATTAGCTAGTCAATTAAAAAAAAATATTAAGAATTTCCGAAGATTAATCAATGCCACATTTGAATTGTCTTGTTATGCGAATAGAGATATAAATTAATTATGGTTATCACTTTATGATTCTGCCAGCCTATAATTTTTTTTAGACAAATCTACTTTTGGCCCGATAAAAAGGCCGAATAAACGATAAAAGTTTAAGTTTTTTCATCTTTAAAAAATTTCCATGAAGTAAATGATAATGATTGAGAGAGCTCAGAACTACATTGTAGCCACCGCATGCTGAGCGATACCCTATCAACCTACCCCAATGACCTTAGCGAGGTGGGGTAACACTTTTGCCAAGATATTTCCAGTGAATGCAAAATATTTATATTCTTTATAATTTGATCCTCCAGGACGCCGTACATCTTGGTTACCAAATCAGTTCCTTTGTTCCTCAAATAGGATACATATCTGGAGATTGAAATGAAAATAATTTTATTATCCTGGGACTGTTGCCTCTTTAGAACAAATTAAATATATAGAGCAAATAAGACATGCCAATTATGGCCGTACATTAAATTAAATATTTACAAAATAATAAGTAATTAATAATAAAAATACGGAAACAGAAAGAGGCCGATTTTAATAATAAAGTTGAGAAAATGCAGAATAGTGGTGATGGAATATTAGGATATATGGAGTACCTAGTTCTGCCATAAATACTGTTACAAAAGTTGAACTTTGCTTACATCCTTGGGTATCATTTAGATTATCCTCTCAGATTATTTTCTTTACATGTCAGGATAATAATCCCAATTAGTTTGTATTTTTCTTTCTCTCAGTTAACATGGAGTGGGGTGATGAAGAACACTGAATATCTGTGATCGTCTTTCACAAAGCTGGAAAATTTAGGTCAGAGATTCGTGTACCGCACTATAAATAAATAATGAGAACGGCAAATGCAGTGAGAGCAGTGGCTGCTCGAATCAGGAGAAATCCTATTCGAAAACAAAAAATCATGTCTCGGGAAATGGAAATCTTCGTCAGATCAATGTCTGGCAAGATAAAAACTGACCTTAGGATGGGTACATTTCAAAGAATGATAGGACGAAGGCTAACCACTTCTCTAAAAAAAATTAGGATAGATAGATGCAAAGTGCTCCTTGGCCGTTACAAAGATGGTCTTCATCGAAAGATTTTCTTTGGGGAACATTTTTCCAATTGAAGAAAAATTTAATCACCAAAATGATCGTGTGTACCCTAGTGTTGCCCAAATGCGAGACCAAATGAGTCTTGGTCTTGCGCACTCAGTCTTGGGCTTGGTCTTGGTCTTACGCAAGAATCTCGCAACAGTCTTGCAGTTACCTATTAGCTTATTATTATAGAAAATATTATTGTAATTTTTTAGGTAGGAGAAACCTAACTAAGTCCTAATGAAAAATTATAAGCGTTAAATTCAAAAGTTTATTGGTTATATCAATTCTTTAGATATAGTAACTATTTGTCGAGTATTAGTAATTATTTTGCCTTAATTTTTATTAAAAAAATCGATTTTTTTTTTACCATGCAAAGTGCAAGACCAAGACCGATTTTGGGCAACACTAGTTTACGCACGCAGCTCTAAAGAAGCCCAGGAAATCATTGGAAAAGTATAAAGAGATCATCACCCTTCCTCAGTTATGGTTTGGTGGGAGTTTGCTATGATGCACCACAAAGCTCTATTTTTGTGAAAAAGGACTTAAAACAGCCGCTAAAAACTATCAGGATTTTGTAACCTTTTGTCAAGCCTCTAAATGATACTCTGTTTGCTTGAAGTCATTAGGTTTTCCATCAGGATTCCGCTCCAGCTCACAAGACCAGATCAAGCAGTGGCTGCAAAAGAACATTCCAGAGTTCGTCTCTGCGTCGGATTGACCCTCAGGAAGCCCTAATTTCAACTCACTAGATTATCGGCTTTGGTCCGAACTGGAGAGCATGGCATGCCACAGAGCACACTAACTTGGGAAGGCTCAAACAATCTCTGGTCCGAGCAGTTGAGCACTTTCCTCAAGAAGTGTTGCGTGCTGCTATTGATGATTGGCCACGGAGATTAAATGCCTGTATCAAGGCAAAAGGGGGAAATTTTTGAGTAGTTTCTTTCTTGTTTTACTCTCTATAGATATAGATATTATTTTCAAATAAAGTTTTTGAAGTAATTAATTTTTCCGTTGAAATCTGTATATATTTCCCTGTAACTATATCTATACCAGGACTAGGTATGTTAAGGGTAATATGCAGTAGGTACATAACCCTTAATATACTCCATACATAATAGTATTCTATTACCACTACCAATTAGTGCTGAATGTTAATTGCCATTGGTATATACCGTATATAAAATACATTGTATTTCAAACCATGCTGTAATTTTACCACATCATTTATGATATCTTAAGTGTTCCACAATTACATTCTTTAGCAAGCTATACTATTTCCATATCAACAGGTATTTTATTCATCATTTATTGTAAAAATTAACATATATTTTTAGCATGAAGAAGACCTATAGCGTAGGTCGAAACGTTGGATAATTCAATAAAAAATACTATTGTATAATAAAGTATTTCATATATATTGACCACACTCTTGACTAACTTCTTCTGAAAATAAATAAATAAATGTCGGCTGAACAAGGAGATAACTATTGATACTGCTTCTTTTTGTTGGTGCGACTGATTTCTATAAAAACTATTTGATATTTAGGTCAACGTTATCAGTGCGCCAACGTGACTGTATCAGCTCGAATGTGTTGGACCAAGTGTCAATAATTGAATTAACTATCTTAGTTTGCTTCCGTCAATGATTTTACAAGATTATCCTTATTTTCGTTTTAAGTTTTAAATAGGGAACATATTCATTTTTCTGAATCAAATAATAGAAGAAACAAATAGAAACTAATTGCAAAAGATCTTAAGGGCATAATAATAAATACATATAGAAATAATTCAGCAATATTTTTAATAAATAATGTCGGAGAGTAGAATAAGTGAAGATGTTGGTAGGCGTGACGAAAAGGAGTGCCCCAACGGTATCTCTTCCAATTTTCATTTAAATATTTAGTGGAGGAGATCCCTCATCCAGCATCTTTTGAGTCTGCTGCGGGTGTTATCGGCTATGTTTTTTTTTGGCAATGCCTTGAATCAGTGAGTTGATACTTCCGTGTAAGTTATTGTGAAATATTTTGCAGTTTTTACTATGCGTTCCTCGGCATTTTTATGTCATTGTGTAATGTTGCTAACATACATACCTACTACTACACTAACGTACATACTGCTGACGTACTTACTAAGACTGACAAACTTGGGAGGTTTTCTTATAATCCTAAATGTTTTTGGTTGAAAAGTTTATAGTTTAGGCGTGTGGATCTTTTACACGGTGGGCCAAACCCCTCTACCGTGCACCCATATCCCTACATCCCTATAAATTACATATCGTTTTGTTCCTTGTAACTATTTATTTTTAAAAAAGCCAATGTTCCCACTATCGGTGTGCCCTAGTTAGTGTGTTGGTTGTGGTAATGCTTCACTTACAAGTGAGTTGGTTTATGCGTGTAAATTATTGTTAAATCTTTTCAGTGTATTCGTACATGTTCCTTAATTGTTGACATCTACAAGTCTTTAGGTTGAAAAGTAACGTTGCTAACGTACCAGGGATCTTTGATTATAGTCCTGAATGTATTTTATTGAAAAGTTTGTAGTTTACGTATGAGAGTATTTTTTGCTTTCAGTATATCTGTGAAGCATAGGTCCAAATAGACATATAGAAGTTTTAATCTCGAACTTCTTGAATGAAGTGATCTGGTAACATCTTCAGTGCTCGAAACCCTGACGATGACCCGCATGCTTGGATTAAAACGTCGAAACTAATAACAATTTAAAAATGACTGCGTCCTGACTATTTATCACCTATGATATGTAGAATATTCGACTAACTACATTCAATAACACAATGTATTAATTATAAGGTATATATATACTTTTACGCTTCTCAAATTTACGGTTCAGCAAATAAGACGCACTTAAAAAAAATACTGAAATTTCAATTTAAAATTTTAATACTAATAACAGCAGTTTCCCGGTACGTAAACAACAAAACTTTACAAACCGACTTATGACAACCGACGATCGACCATCGCATACCTGTTCTCTACTCCCGATTTCGTACGCCTGACATGCTCATTAAGAGGGGATTGAAAAGAACCTGAATGAGAAATCTCCTTTTCCTGAATCAAGAAATTTAACAATGACCTGGAAGAAGTGCAGTTATCCTTCCTCATGCTTATAATGTCCTCTCTATCAGGACACATGTGGGTAAATCTCTCATGAGAGAAATGTTTAAGTGAAACAATGTTTTTCTCTTGTACTTTTTTATTTATTATGCTTGGGTTAAAGCGTCGACACTAATAAAAACCTTAAAAGTTACTGCGTCCTGACTATTTATCACCTATGATATGTAGAACATTCGACGAACAACATTCAATAGAACAATTTATTATTTTAAAATATTTATATATTTATTCACTTCTCAAACTTATCGTTCAGTAAATATGCGCTTAAAAAAACTACTGAAATTTTAATACTGACAACTGCAGCTTCATGGTACGTAAACAACAAAACTTTACACAACGACTTACAAACAACGATCTACCAACGCATATGGACTCTCTACTCCCGATTTCGTACGACTGACATGCTCCTTAGGAGGGAATTGAAAAGAACCTGGATGAGAAATCTCCTTTTCTGAATCAAAGAATTTAACAATGACCCGGAAGAAGTGCAGCTGTGTGATATACTTCCTCTTGCTTATATTGTCAATCATTCAATTTAACACAATAAATCTACTGATTCTCTTTTTCAGGACTAGTGTTGCCTAAAATCGGTCTTGGTCTTGCACTTTGCAAGGCCAAGACCAGAACTGGTCAAAAAAATCGATTTTTTAAAATAAAAATTAAGGCAAAATATTTACTAATACTTGAAAATCTTAGTTAATATATGTTAATAATTGGTGTAACTAATGTACTTTTGCATTTAACTCCTCTAAATTATCATTCGGGCTTAGTTAGGTTTCCCCTACCTAAAAAATTACAGTAAAATCTCTATAGTAATAAGCTAATAAGTAACTGCAAGACTGTTGTGAGATTCTTGCGCAAGACCAAGAGCATGGCTAAAATTGAGTTTGCAAGACCAAGACCCGTCTCGATCTCGCATTTGGGCAACACTACCTATGATATGTAGAACATTCGACTAACTACATTCAATAAAACAATTTATTATTTAAAAATATTTATATATTTATTCACTTCTCAAACTTATCGTTCAGTAAATATGCGCTTAAAAAAAACTACTGAAATTTCAATTAAAAATTTTAATACTAATAACAGCAGTTTTCTGGTACGTAAACAACAAACTTTACATACGACAAACAACGCATACGTGCTCTCTACTCCCGATTTCGTACGACTGACATGCTCATCAAGAGGGGATTGAAAAGAACCTGGATGAGAAATCTTCATTTCTGAATCAAGGAATTTAACAATGACCTGGAAGAAGTGCAGCTGGGTGCAATACTTCCTCATGTTTATAATGTCAATGATTCTATTTAACACAATAAATCTACTGATTCTCTCTATCAGGACACATGTGGATAAATATCTTATGATAGAAATGTTTAAGTGAAACAATGTTTTTCTCTTGGACTTTTTTATTTATTTTTTTTAATTCTATCTGACGTTTCACACACAGAAATAATGCAAAATCGCACGTAAATTCAAGAAAAATATCGGAATATATATTAATAATAATACATAAATACCTTGCATTTCAACCTAGAATGTAACTGAAAGTGCAGCCATAGTGGAAGACTTGGAAGTTGATCAATCAAACGCAGTTATCAACAATCTGCTCTTTAAAAATCATCTGCGCCTCTTATATCACGTCTTCTTGTCTTCTTTTATTAGAAGTCTATTGTCAATTTTTTTTCTACTTTTTCTTTCTGCCTTCTATATTTAGCTTTGATCTGTCACCGACATAATTAACCGTGTCTATTTTCCATTACTACGCAAATAAAAACGTTGTATACAATTATTTTTTATGTACATAGTAGTTTTTTAATTGAAATAAAAAGTTTCCATTCATGGAGAATTTTCGATCACAAGCATACTTCATAACTATGTTTACACGTTAAAGTTTAGGATAAGTCTATTAATATTAAACAATTTTTCTGAAAAAAATATTATGGCTGGAGATTTTGAAATATCTTAGAAATAATCTACTAATAATAAAGCAACTACAGTGACAGGCAAAAGATTGCAACCACTTGTAAAAAAAGTTGCATTTGTATATAATACATGGTATTTGTAGGTAATACTTAGTATTTATGGAATTTTATAATCTTTTTTACCTTCAATAATCAAAATGTGATTGGGTAAGAAAGATTAGAGAAAAAAAGTATTTAAAAAAGAACCATTATTATTCTAAAAGAAATTAATTACATCATCGTTTAGTAGCGCATGTTTCCTCCTCTTGCCTTCACTACTTCTTGAAGACGCCTCGGCATACTTTCCACCAATCGGGAAATGTCCCTTTGCTGGAGGTTAGCCCATTCCTCCCGAAGAGCCCTTTCAAGGTCCTGCAGTGTATCAGGAAGTGTTGCAAGCGTTCTTATTCGTCTTCCGACGTTATCCCATAAATGATCGATGGGGTTCAAATCTGGAGAACGTGCTGGCCAGGCTAAAACTTCAATATTGTTCTGTTGAAGGAACGTCTGCACTATGCGGGTGACATTTGGGCGTGCATTAGAATAGAACGATCGCCGATTTCGTTGAGGATAGGCAACACATGAGGTTCCAAAATCTCACCTATATAGCGAATAGCCGTCAAAGACCCTCCACGAACAACAACCAATTCTGTGCGGCGCTCCATTGAAATCCCAGCCCACACCATTAAGGAACCACGTTGG